AAACAGGCAATACTCTATGCTGTGCATCAAAACATTATTTTTACTTACTATATTATTTTGTTAAAGAGATTTTAGTTTATCTGGCTGTATTTCTTTAATCTTTACGATAGAAAGTTACAGCATATAAGCTATACTGAGACAAATAATTGACTCACATTAGATATGATCCATTTTAACCGGTCCCACTTAGGTACAAATCTGACTTAATGTTTTGTGAATGATGAGGGCAACGAATGTACAAATGCGCTTTACACAATTGATGTGTGTATGGATTGTGATAAGAGTTGTATGCGCCCCTAATAAAATGATTTTTTTTAAAAAGATAAATTTAACAATGAAGCTCACTCATAATTTGGTGGATTATAAATGAGCTGAATATAATCTATGGTTCTCACAACACCCAAATCACATAATGTACTATTTCACAGCACATATTATAGATGTTCCTGAGCTCCGATGGCATAGCGATTACACATTGTGCTGCTAACCACAAGGTCAGCGATTCAACCCTGCCAGCCACTTCTCAAGATAAAAACACGGCAAGACTGTCCTTTGAGTCTTCCCATCCTTTTGGAAATTGCAGCTGGTGATGCTGCTGTTGGCATGTGAGTTCTGTATAAAACCTATCCAGATTTTTCCAAATTTGGATTTTATATCCACCATGTATTAGTGGGAGAAATGTGAAGTTGTGTCAGAGTATTTATTTACATATCGAAATGCATACTTTTGTATGAACTTTCCTTTTTATGTCATTTAGTATATTCTGTTGAATTTGTTGAAATGACATATATCGGTAGGTTTTATTATAGAGTAAATAAAGAACTACAAAAATATTGATGATTAAAAGGGGCATTAGGCTTGATTGTGCTAAGAAACAAAGCTGGGAAATGTTAGGAGGGAATCATCTTTCTAGGAGAGCCACACGTGTGAACCTTCCCTGACACCTCACTGACTGCTCACTGCAGGAATGACTGAGCTGACTGTGGAACTGGTGCTGACAAGCTGGCTTCCTAAATTAGGTAGCCAACCCCCACCACCCCCCGCCCCCCTTCTCTCTTTCTTCTCAGTGTCCAGTCCCTTGAAGGAAGCAAGTTTTTGGTAGCCTCCTACAAATTTTGCAAAGGAAAATTGTTTCCTGTGTAAATTATCAAAACACATGCATTGACATGAATCTTGGGAGTAAATTTCCATTTACTTTTAAAAACCCAACCCAGCTATCCATTCTCGGAAGCCCTTCCTAAACCCCCAAAGGGGTCAGTCATGCCCTGCCATCTTCCATTCTATTGTTCTGCACTGCTCATCGGGGGCCATCCCTGTCATGTGGCACAGTGAGGGATGTGCTTCCAGGGCCATCTCTTCCACATAACTGACAGCTCCCTGAGGGCCTGTATCTTTAACATTCCAGTGCCAGGTACAATGCCTGGCACACAATAATGCCAAGCAGCTTATTATGGGGTGGTGTAAGTGGCATTAATTTCAACATTAAATTGTTCTAGTGAAATGTATATTTCACTAAATACTATAGTTACTTTAATTAACTTTAATAACTCTCCAACTCAAGCCTTTCCAAAAGATGGTAATAAAATTAAGAATGATGAATAGAATCGTCATGTTTTCACTTGTAGAATTTAATTAAATAAAATTAGCTTTCCTGAAAGTAATTCCATCATATCTAAGGAATAATCTGAAAGGAGTCAAATATCTCACTTATCACTAGGTAATCTTTTTAATAAAAATACCTCTAAAATCCACATTCCAAGGACGGTCCTGACATCTGTCACTTTAGTACAAGTTGGAAAAGTGGCCAATTTAGGAAAATTATTTTTCCCAAGAGAAAGGAACAGTGGATCTGAACAGACTTTCTTGGGGGCTGGGGGTGGGGTGGGAGGTGTTGTATTTTATTCAGGAGCTGGAGAGCAATTCCTTGGTTTTGATGTGCTGTGTCTCTCCTCAATGCCTTGAAAAAATTCAGGAACTTACTAGTGAATTTAATGACATCAAATCACACTCATGGAAATGGATCTTGAGCATAAATAAATCTAATCGACATTCCTGCACACCCAAGACACTTTACATGAATTTAAAGGTATCATAATCTAACTGTAAATGAATTGTTTTTAAAATGCCTAGAAGCAGAAATTTCGTAACCTCTGGGACCACTCTAAAAAAAGAGAAGGCAGAAACTTTGTTTACAAATGCTGCGTCTTTGTTTACAAACACCGTGTCTGCCACGGCACTCAGCCCGCTGGTGTACCTTAGTGTGGTCCTAACACAGCCTCACACGGGACATATGTTATGTGACTTAAATAAAAAAACAAAGTAGCTAAGACTCAGGGTGGTTAGGACAGTTATCTCTTGGTAAAATAAGGATTGAATTCCTAAACTGCCTGTCTCTTAAGCTTATTCTATTTCTGTGAAAACAGGGAAGCTCTTGAATAGTTTTGAGTAGCCGTTTTACTGCCGCTCTGCTCATTTTGGTTGTGTTTTAGAAAAGGAGACTTCAACCTGCATTGACATGCCTCGTTATCTCTAATCTTTCATGAACTCCCTCTAGTCTGACTTTTGCCCCAATACTTTATTAGAATGGTTGCCAGAGAATATAATGAGTTTTTCTTGGTCTTAACCTTTCTTGGTCCTTCATTTACAATTTAATAGTATTGACCACGCAACCTTTATAAAAGAATCTTCTCCTGACTTCAGTTATACATTGTTCCTGCTCTCTCTCTCTCTCTCTGACTTGATTCTGTTTCCTTTTCTGTTTTCTGAGTCAAGGTCGAGCTTTTTAGCTCAACAATGACTTTCTCAAAGAATTGTTCTTCCCGATGTAAGTAAAGTCCTTTTACTGCCTCTCTGGTTTTATTTTCTCTTTTTTTTTTTACATTTTACTGGGAGCTCTTACAGATATTGTAACATTCCATAATTCAATTAGATCAGGCATAATTGTACAATTCCTGCCACCATCAGTTTTAAAACATTTCCTTTCTTTGATATCAGCTCCCCTTGATCCCCTCACTCCCCAACCAGATCCCCTAGCCTTTTCACTCTTTTATAATGACCCAATAGGATAAGTTAGAATGGCTGCTATTGGTTTCTGGGACTATAACTCTGCACTGTCTTCTGATTAAACATTCACATTGCTTCAAGCTTGTATCTAATACATCAGCTAGTATTTACATACTAACGCTTCTAAAATGTTTATTGTTGGTTTCTATGTGTCATTCCTGATTTTCCCAGCCAGATTCATCCTCCATACTTGCAGAGGTCTCACCCCCTCATGAACAGAGATCTTGCTATGCTTGCTAATTTCCCTCCCAAATTGTGTCATAGCATTTCTATGGGTAAGGACTGATTTTAGTGTTAACACTTGTATTTTGAAATCATCGTGTCTAATAAAATAAATGATGTAACATAAAAATTTTAAAACGTGAATAGTCACCATAGTATGGGAACAACCTAAATGCCCCTCAGTGAGTGACCAGAGCAGCCAACCACAGCACACCCACACACTGGAATACTACACAGCGTTAAAGAATAACCCTGAGCCTGTGGAACACCTCATAACATGGAGGACCCTGCAGGACATTCTGAGTGAACTAAGGACAGGTATCACATATCAGATCACTATCATAAAAAGCCAAGAAGAAGTTTTCACATAAAAAGAAACATTTTTTGAAGTTATCAGGGGTGAGAAAGAAAGGGAGAGTAAATCACTAGAAGGTTGACCCCATTAACCTGGATGAAGGGGAAGGCAACAGACAATAAAGGAAGTCAGCAAAAAATGATGAAGGCAGAGGAATACGCTGAGTGGAATATGAGTTAAAGACAGCACACTCATTCTAATAATCCCTAAGTACATGCATAGACACACAAGCTGAACCGGTCCAGGAAGAATGGGACTTTACTGTGAACATATACAGATTTGACAAAGGGTATTTCTATGTATATAGTAGTTATATGTGCTGCAAACCTATCTATGGATATACAGTACAGCACGAAGGTGAAAAGTCATGAAAACGTTTTAAGCCGTAACTACACACCACAGGAATGAGTTGCTGGGTCGAGACTCAGGACCCTAGTCTTGGGGGAACTTAAGGTCAATTGACACAACACAGGCCACAAAGACAATGTTCTACATCCTACTTTGGATGTAGCATGACTGAGCCTTACCAGCTTGTGTGGCCATCTGGTCTTGCACTGTGTGCACCAAAGAAGAGCGAAGGCAATCAGAGATGCAGGGAAACGGTTCCCATGACTCAAGCTTCTCCAAACAATAAACTGACCTCTACGGTGACCACCAACGCCGGGGACATAGGCCCACCTTAGAACAATCAACCATATGAGGTCCGAAGGGAAGCATCTGGCCGGGGGTAAAGTTCACAAGGCAGGAAGGGACAGGGAAGAGAGAGAAATGAAAACGGGAAACACAAGAAGACAATGGGAAGGTGCCAGGATATTGGAGGGGTTGTATCAATGACATGACACAGAACACATGAATTTGTGGATGGGAAACCCATTTACTCAGTAAACTTTCACCTAAATCACAAAGTGAGAAATTAGTAAGTTAAAATAAAAAACTTGACTAGAGAGGTTTCTTCATTTACTGTGAGCCTTTCATACTAAGATAGAAGCATAGAAGGTCATGTAAGACGTGAAAATATAAATTCATGAAACAGGTAAACTTCTTGTGGCTATATTCATCATAGATATATGGTCATTTATTTGAATGACCAAGGTCATCTCCACATAACCCTCCCTCCCATAGATAGTCTATGGACAGAGCTATGATGGACGAGCAGGCATACTTAAAGCTAAGGTCAGAAGGTCATGATATTCTGCAGTCATTTGACAGAGAGACAGAGCATCTATGGTACTATACGCAACATCTTTGAAAATAGGCCATTTTAAAAGCAAATATTACAATTTTTATCTGATATGGTATCGTGGAATACATTATAATTAAAGTCTGTGATGAGTAGATATGTGAAATATAATAACCTTACCTTTACATAATCATAAACACATCTTTGGGAAACACTTGCAGCCTCCAGAGTAAATGTATTGAAGGTGAGCTTAATTAATTTGTTTATAGGTGCACTTATGAACCACGCACAGTTTAAATTCTTGTCATAGCGTCCATTTGAATCGGAATCAGGAGAGGCAAAGGTTTGGTTTGAACCTGTCAGGTAACCTCCACATCCTTGCTGAGGGCCTGCGTCAAAACAAAAGACACGTCAATGTACAGAGCAAACGGGATATATTTCCATTATACATGTCGGGTTAAAAAAATCTGTCTTATATTTCTGCTACTCCTTTATGCACAGTCACAGATCCATCACTGGCTCCAATGGACGTATGTGCATGTTGCTTCCACTCGCTCTGGATTCTTCGTGACTTCTTCCTCTCCACTCCTTTCTCCAGCACTTCAGCTGTCCCCAGTTCATCCACACAGTCACTTTAAAAAGATGTGTAGTGATAGGCCTTTTGAGAAATGCTGATGCAATTTATTAAAGCTTTTTCTGGCCTTGAAAAATCCAATATGACATAAAGTCCGTGCATACGTAAGAGTTGGAAAATATGAACCTGTCTATATTTATGAACACGACCAGACTGAAAACTGAATTTGTGAAGAATTTGTGTCACTCGCTAGAAAAAGTGATTTTTTTTAAACACCCTGGTAGAAGGTGCTCAAGGGGCATTTAACATGGCAGCGCAGTTCATCCAAGACCACGTTCTTAATTTTTCTCTTTTCCAAATAAAAGTGGGCAGGGCCGGGGGAGCTGTTTTAGGGGGAGGGCATAGAGAAAATAGTCTACTAAATTTGAGATTTTAAAAACCCCAACACACTGAAATTCTGAATAAAATTACCAAAAGTGACAGGAAACGCTCTCAAGAGGGAGAAGAGCTGTGCTGTGAAGGAGAACTGGAGCAGTCATCAGCACATAGGGTGTCCTTTGATTTTGTTTTCTCCAGTGGCAGTGGAGTAAGAAGACCAGGAGAGAAGCCAGACTTATGGAGTGAACTCCGGAAGAGTTCAAAGTGGGAAGAGGAATTAGACAGGTACTCAATCCATTGGTCATAGAGAGCAACTATGTAGTTCTATACATAGACAGGCCAATCCTATTTCAAAGGCATTGGCCTCCTGTCTACCTGTCTCATTCCATCTATTTATTTTAATAAGGACAGAGCTGCTTTCAACCTTAGGGGCACTACGGCTTGGCATTTCGATCCTGGAAGGCAATGCAAACAGTGGCTGCCCTCCTCAGCACTGACTCCAGACCCCTTGAATATTAAATGTATATATTGCTTTAGTCAATAAGCTGCTTTGGTCATAGCTTCTAAGTCAGAGTGCTTGAGTAGTACATAGAGCATTTGCACAGTCAGGCATTTCCTGGAGGTGAAATGCATCCAGAAGTCCAGGCTCTGATATAGCCGTAAGACAAATCATACTGTGAACTCTATGCTGTGCACAGTGGGGCACCCCCTATTGGTAATAATTCTGCTCATTAGAAAAAGATGTGAAAAGGATAGCGCATGACTGCATAGCTTTTATTCCGATGTGAATGGACTGTAATTTCAGGAGACGACGTTAGCTTACTGAAATCCCTAGCCAATCAGAACAATGACTTAGGGTATGGATGTATGGCTACATTCTTTGTGTGCTCAGTATTTCCTCCCAAATATTCAAAGTACAATTCTCAGTGTTGACATGGAAAGAAAGATTAATCAGGTAGTCCATTTACGGTGACAAGACATAGATAACTAATGGTGATGACACAATATAGGATCTAAGTGCCCCAAAGCTACAGGAACGGTCATATGAAATTCATAAGGAGTGGAGATTAATTCAGTTGATGCGGCTCCAGAAATAGGATGAATGCTGATGATTCTAAACTGAACGAATCACAACCAAAGATTAATGGATAGGAATTAATATTATCCCTGTGAGAAAGGTTAATGTCATTTAAGGAAATAGCGTGGCACTCGAAGGAGAATAATGAGAAGGCAGATTAGAAAAATAGGGTCGTGTCACTCTGCACAGGCATCTCACCGTCACATTACAAATAACGTGGAGGATTGAGACCCCTTTGAAAACTCCTGTCCCTGCCTCGAGAGTAGTAGGATCAAAGTGTACTTTCTAATTAAGGCTGAGCTAAAAATTAATCTGCAAGCAGCATTTTACATCTCAAAGAACAAAGAGGGGATGAGAGCAGTTAGGAAGATATTATTATCTAGAAGTAACAAGAGACAATGAAGAGTTGAAAATGATATTACTAAGCATTATTCCATACATGCAATCACTTTCAGAAATTAAATGTTATTTAAGCAAATTCAACCTGCTGTATATACTCACGTATAAGCCGACCCAGCTATCAGCCAAGGCACCTAATTTTACCACAAAAACTGCATTAAAATGTGCTGAAGAAAACTCAGCTTATACTCGAGTATATAGGTATATATATGTTATCACTATTTATTAATACTTACTAATAAATAATAGAGGCCAAATGACCATTAAAATTGGGCATACGGAGTACTACATCGTGCAGAAATTATAATAGTACGAGTAATGATGGTGATGTCCTAAGATACAACCATCCTCTTTCCAGAGAACCCCAGAATAAGTCTCCTTACACTTTGGGCGTGGGTTGCCCAAGATTGAGGGCTAGATGAGATGGTTTTTAATTCCTCACACCCACCTGTCTCCACTCAGTCTCTTCGCAGTGCCCTAGCATGCCACTGAGTGTTTGCGCGTCCTTTTCATGGCCTGCTTCGGACAATGGACTATAAGGAGTCATAAAGCACGCAGAGGTCTTAAGTGTGATTGAGGGGGTTGGCTTGGCCATTTGTGCCCGGAGAGATCCTGGCCCAGGTAAGTCCTAATCCACCTTGTGGAGCCGCCCTGAACAAATCCAACCTGCTGCCTGAATGGAGCAGAAGCAGGCCAGCCAGTCTGCAGATCCTAAGTGATCAGAAGAGATGCTGTAGTTATGTAAGCCGCTGAATTCTGGATGGTTTGTTACACAGGATTATTGTGGTTATAGCACACCAAGATGCACACGCAAAGAGCTTGTTTGGCTTATGAAAGAAAGCACATTGTTTAGTTCATAAAATATTGCCGCCGCCCCCATCCACAAAATCAACCAAAAGTAAATAGAGAATATTGGAGGTGGGGTTGGAGTGGAGGGAGCAATAAAGTAGTCAAAGCACCGCATCAGAGGCCAAGAAAGAACAGGCAGTGCTACATACAGAGCATTTGCACGGTCTTAGGCATTCTAAGTAGTATAACTGAGTAACTACTAACCCACTGCTGTCCAGTGGTTCTGCCGAGAGAGACCCTATAGGACAGAGTAGAAGTGCTCCTTAGTCTCCAAAACTGTGTATCTTTATTGAAGCCAAGAACCTCAAGTGATCTAGAGATGATTTCCAGTGTCCAGGAGTAGTGCCTAGGTTATGTGAAAACAGCATGCCTTTTGTTTTTCAGGGACTTGATTAGCACCAAGTGTACCATCTGAAGCCTTCCTGAAACCACCCCTGAAGGAGACCCAGGGACACTGTACAGAGAAGAAGTGAACATGGAGACCTGTGGGAAACAGAAGGATTTCTCTCAAGCTGTCTCCCCCAAACATATGCCAGACTTAGCTGCTTGAGAATGACTGTACACTTGGAGGTCATCAGGAGTGGATTGGGGGTCATTCTCCCTGACAGTTATCAGCTGTCTAGACCAAGTAGATACCACTGTTTATCCCACAAGTAGGGCCCACTCCCTTCTGATAAGGATAGTAGTTGTCTGTTTCCTTGTAGGAGACACCAGAGAGGTCAAACCCGCCCAAGGATGACCAAGGTTAGGCTGCCATTATGAATCTAGGGTCAACCCATCTTGTCATGTGTATACCCCTAGGCCTTCCCATTCTTATAGGCACACCCCTAGCTCATCCCTACCTGTTGCGCTTATACCTATCATAGATCCCCTTCCTACAATGTGTATGCCTATTGTATTGCCCCTTCCTGTGATGTGTGATTCTGTAATGAGGTCCCCCTAAAGTGATATAATGCTGGGTTAGCAATAAAGAAGAGGTTCTCCTTGGTCCCTGCAGCCTGGGAGCTCTCCCCAGTCCCCAGACCCAAAGCTCCCTCCGGAGCCCGGGAGGCTCTCCCCGATTCCCAGGGCCCTCTCTGGCTCTCGGGCCAGGAGAGGCTCCCCGGTTCTTGGTCCCCGAAGCTGCTCCTGCTCTCGTAGCCGGGTTCCCCCCACGAGGACCACCAGGCAGGGCGGAGATGAGCAATGCTACCATGAATTGTGTCTGACTCCATTTATTCCAATCTCTAACTCTCATGCTCTCGATGATTTTAATATAATACATATATATCTCAACCATACAATTGTGCTTACGGGTGTAGGTAGTACTAGCTGTGGGGGTTGGCACCTCACTCCCCCCCCCCACATTTAACTTAATACTACAGAGAGCCAGTGATATCATTAAATAATCCTCGCCAAAATATTCAAATGAATATTGAATAAATATATGAATTAATGGGAGTTTGTGTGAGTCAGAAAAGGGTTATAATTGCTCTCATTCCCCTAATGCAATGTTCACACATTTTTCAATGGCTCAGTTCTTCATAAAGCAAAATAGCAATGTCAACATACATCACTGGGAAAATGTGAAGATGAATATTAGCAAAGGAAGTTTGGGGGGGTTACTCCCCCCCCCCCAAAAAAAAAAGCTGTTTTCATATTTCACAGGTATAGAAATAACCAGAGAAATAAATACCTTCCATTCATAATAAATGATTTATTTGTGTGTGTGTGTGTGTGTGTGTGTGTGTGTGTGTACTGGTAGGACATGTTAACCTTGGTTTGTTGTTGAGCACGATAAATCCATCATCTTCCTAGTTACTACACATTTCTCTATCACGCCGACACATCCCATCCATCAGCACTGACTTCACCAGTCAGCTCGCGTCGGCAGCTGTATCTTACAGGCGGTCTAATGACATGCCCTGTGCCCAAGAACAAATGTCACTCTAACCCTCTTCTCCACATTGAAAAAACGCCACACAAAAGAGCTATTTTTTTTTTTAAATGAGTCCGTTTGGGACTAAAAAAATATTGGAAACAGAAACCCCTAAAAAGCTGTACATCTGGGTCCAGAATTACTTAATTAAAAATCAGTAACTGAATCCTACATTATTTCCCTTCCACTTATG